ATATCAGGCGACAGAGATCCAAATGTAGACCCTATTGCAGGCATGACACCATAACCGGAGTTAGAGTGATAACCCATACCACCCATGTGCGGAACCTGAGGAGTCTGCTCAACGTGCATAATGTACGGCCGAGGATGAGGGTGAGGTGGAGGCTGATATCCAGCAAGGATCCGTTCCATCGCTTCCAGCCGGGCCCTCGTTTCTTCATCATTCTTTCGTTGCTGTTCAAATGCACGCTGCTGCTACTCCAATTCTCACTGCAATTGGGCAATGCGTGGATCCTCTCCTCGTCTAGATTGAGAAGATGATGAAGCTCCGCTGCCGCTGCGATCGTACAAAATACGTTGCCCCTCAGCCCCGAGGCATGGAAGCCGACCCTTGTACACCCCTGTTGCCTCAAGGATGACATCATCTTCCACATCAGAATCGATGTCATCTTCTTGAGTCAAGCCAAGTTCCGCCCGCTTCTTTTCAACATTTGCGTTATACTTTGTCTACAAACATTTCAAAAAATTATTCAATGATATTTACTTCAATTTGAAATAATAGTATTGATTTTGAAATAATAGTATTGATGTTACATACTTCGATTTCAGCAAGGCGGGGTGGTAGATTGGCTGGCGACTCAACACCGCTCTTCGTCCAACAATGTTTGATTACACTGAGGATAGGGACCCTCTTCTTTTGAGGCCCCGCCTACAAGGTTAGAAAAAGGTTTAAATAAATTTAAAAAAATAAAAGGTTAAAATGGTGTAGGTTTATTTGAATAAGACTTACAAGAGCTTCTTTATGTTTACTCTGGGGTTTGCGGCCTCCGTGCCATTGTGTCGTCATTGCCTTCTCGGACATCCGATTTTTCTTCCCGGCTTCGCTTCTGGCCAAGAAAGTCGGATTCGAAGACCAGTGGCGGACGAGGTTTTCCCATACCTCATCCGAACACCATTGAGGCCTTACCCCACTGGCTCGGGCACGCCTAAAAGTGGGGCGAAGCCAGTTTGAAACTCTGGCATTGTACGCCCTTAGAATAGCGGGGCCTTGTTCTTCAGTCCAGCGAAACCGGGCCTTTATTAAAAAAATAAATTAACTTATCATTTGTCAAATTTTATGTTACATCAATGACGAAAAATTGATTTTTTTACCTTGAACAAGTTCCACCAAAGTTCACGGACCTTAGGATCAACATCCGTGTACGTCGCCCAGTTGCCAAGAAAGTGTCCACCAATTATGATTTTGATTTGGTTGAGCACATCTTGATCGCTTCAAAAAATTAATATTTTTTTATAGTTCATTAAAAAAATTATTTGATTATTTGAAATTAGATAAAATTCATAGTTACTTACTTAGCAACCATGTGAGGTGTCACTCATTCGGAATCTTCATTGTTGCGCTCGGTTTGGGTTAAGGGCGCATAGTTCGGGCGAGCACGGGATGTGGATTGTTCATTGCTCATCTAAAATAATTGATTAATGAGGAGTATTAATTTACATTTTCGAATAATTGTGTAAATATAATAGAAGATCAAATTTTGATTTAAATAAAGGCAGTTTTTTAAAGGCAGTTTTTTGATTCAAATTTTGAAAAAACAGTGTTTAAAAAACAGTGTTTAAAAAACAGTTTTAAAAAACAGTTTTTTATAAAACAGTTTTTTATAAAACAGTTTTTTATAAAACAGTTTTTTATAAAACAGTTTTTTATAAAACAGTTTTTATAACAGTTTTTTATAACAGTTTTTTATAAAACAGTTTTTTATAAAACAGTTTTTTATAAAACAGTTTTTTATAAAACAGTTTTTTATAAAACAATTTTTTAGAAATCAGTTTTTTATAAAACAGTTTATTATTTTTTATAAAACAGTTTTTTAAGAACTGTTTTTTATGTCTACCTCAACATTTTATAATTATTAACATGTTAAACTTTTTTGGAAGTTTGACATGAGGGGGTATTTTGTTTAATTACTTCGGGAAACTTTTTAATTAAAAAGGCTTTATTTATTAAACAGTGTTTTTTCATAGTGTATATTTTATATTAAATTTGAGAAAACTATTTTTTAATGTCTAACTTATTATTTGATAATTATTAACATGTTAAACTTTTTTGGAAGTTTGACATGAGGGGGTATTTTTTTTAATTACTTCGGGAAAACTTTTTAATTAAAACGATTTAGTCACTCATTTTTTTACACTACGGTCCGTGACTAAGTCCGTGAATTACTTAAAATTAACTAATTCCCAAAAGTTCCCTTAAAATTAACTAATTCACTTAAAATTAACTAATTGCCTAAAATTTCACTAAAATTCACTAAAATCCCATTAAAATTAACTAACGTCTAATAATTAATATTATTAAACTATAAACATGCACAATACGTTAATGACATTAATTTAATCCACAATACTAAAATTATCAACATCTTAATCTTATTAATAATGCACATTTAACAATTTACGTACTAAATTAAATAATATGAGCAAATTCAATAATTTGAGCATATATATATAATAAACACATTTAAATTAAATTAACTAACCCTAATTTAAATCATTATTAATCCTAAATTAGGCCGCCTTAATTAACAATAATTGCCAATATAAAGAAATCATATACTTATATTTAATCATATACACACACACATATATATATATATATATATATATATATATATATATATATATATATATATATATATAAAGTCATTTGAATTAAATAATACTTACATTTATTAACTAATATTAATAATATGCATTTAAATTATATTTAATCATATATACTTACATACGTATTTAACTAATTTACGTAATTTTAATCCTATATTTTAAAATTAATAACATATGTATTGCCAATATTATATTTAATAATATATATACTTACATATGTATTTATTAACAAATTTACATATTTAACTAATTTACAAAAAATACGTAATTCAAATTACATACCTTATCTGCAAAAACAGGAAAAATGATATGAGATGGGTAGATTACATCCTTCAATTCTATCTGGAATTCTATCTGGAGTACGTAGAAGGTGTGATTTTGTTGAAGGAAGCCGAGGCTGCATATATAAATTTTGTAGTCACGGACGTAGTCACGGATGTGTCCGTGACTACTTGTTTTTGTACGAATTGTCGGTACACTTTAAATTTGGAGCGTTGAAAAAATCAATTTTGCACCTGTCACGGATTTAGTCACGGACAAGTCCGTGACTAACTGTAGTCACGGTACTAGTCACGGATTTGTCCGTGACTAATTTCAAATTTTAAAATAATCCCGCCGGAGGTGAAAATGGGGTGGCCGGAACACTTTAGTCACGGACTAGGTCTGTCACTACCTCTAGTCACGGACGTAGTCACGGACAAATCTGTGACTACTTTTTTTTAACGATTCCGTGACTACACCGTGATTAGAACCGTGACTAACTAGTCACGGACCAAATCCGTGACTACGGTCTGTGACTACAGGCGAATTTTTTTGTAGTGAGAATAAACTCCAACTATATCATTTTATTGCCCTAATATTAAAAATAAAACATATTCACTATTTATAAAAAAGTAATTAAGCTATTAGATAATATTTTATTACATCATTTTTCATTGTTTACATTGAAATCAATATTTTATTTCTTATACTATGTATTTGACAAGTTACATTTCGAACGGACGTGAGTTACATTGATCAATAACACGAGTTACATATCTTTACACGCGAGTTACATCCGTGGTGTAACTCACATACATTAAGATGTAACTCGCGTACATTAAGATGTAACTCATCTACTTTTTCATAAGCTCGAGTCTGTTGTTGATGCTGCTCGATCCCATCTCATCTTCTTTATTTTCCGCCTCTGTAGTTTGACTAAGGAAGAGGGCCTTCAGATCCGACGAAGAAGAGTATTGCTGCTCGCTTCCTACTTGCTGGGGCACGATGAATCTACGATGAGGATGGTGGCTGGGGGAGGGAGAGTGTTGTTGGGAAGGGGTCGGCCGCAATACTACGTCGTTTTGCAACTGGGCGCACCATCCTCATGGTGGGCCGGTTGCACGATATAATCTGTGAAGAAAAATGGTATGAATTACAAATTATTTGCTATAGAAGGAAATTGAAGATTTTTAGAATGAACTGAAATAGAAAGAATAAGAATAATTTTGGAAAAGAAGGAGTAATGCTTTTGTAAATACTTAACTTTTTATCAATGTAAGGTTTAAGCTAAAACTTAACTTGTGTAGTCGCACCCTAGTACTAGCTCCTTCCCCCTACAAGAATATGTGGTGCAGTTAACAAGAATAATGAGTTTATGTGATTAATATTGAATTAATAAATTAAGTGAAAATAAAGTAAAAATGATTTTGAATTACATAAACATTATCAAATTTTGTATGAGACAATCTGAATGGGACAGATCAAAAAGGAAAGAAAAGAAAAGATCACATAAGACAATTTTAGCAACATCTTTTTTAAAAAGAGATGTCTAACATCATAATAGGGTTTTTAAAAAGAACATCATAATAGGTAGATACCTCTTTGTACGTAATATTTAATGTAGAAAGAGTATATCTACTCATAATTTTTGGTTGCATGTTTTAACTAGTTTTGTAACGCGCGTTGCGCAACTGGGATAGTGCCCAATGTATTCTGTAACCCAAATCTTTAATATGAACTATCATATTAACAGTGGCTGTAAAGTTTTACTTCATTCTTATTTCAACATGAACTATCATTCTTTTCTAAAAATGATACCATATTAACCACCTGAGTTTGATTACTTCAAAATGATACCATATAATACACTTTGTTAGCAATCGAATGAAGTAACATAGTCTTGAAAATCCTAATGTTCAATTCATTTTACTAATTTATTAACTGATGTTAGAATGTTCAGTTCAGTGCATTACACTAATGGCCTTACGGTTCAGTCCAGATGAATCTGATAAAAAGTTTTTTTAACCACAACTATACTAAGGAGTAGTAAATATATTACTCCAAAACCCTGCATATACTTTCGAAAATAACATTGCAAAACAAGTTTGGGAAAAGAGTGCAGGAGGTAGGCGGTAATAAACCATAAGCAGTAAACTGTAGCAAAGCAACATCATTGATAAATTCTAGTTCATTCCAAAAATAATAATCTGACTTAGTGTTTCATTCAATCAATACCAACCACAACATTGTCATCATCTTCATTGTTTATATCTTATTGTAGGCCTCCATGGTCTTCTCGTATTCACGCTTTCTTTTATCTGCTTTTGCTTTGTATGGAGCTTTATCCTAACAGATTTAAAAAACAATGATGATGAAAAACTGGACCCAAATATAATTGATCATAGCCTCTTAGCCTGCATATAGACATAATCGAACACTTACACTATCAGACATGTTTTCCATTCGATTCCTCCAGCTTTACCGACTTGTTAGATTTAAACATTTAAAATTCAAACATAAGATAAATTTGCATGTATATTACATTACACAATATTAACTACTACTTTCCCCGAATCAATCCAAATTGTGTAAGAAAAATACTAACAACGGATACAGGATTGTGGAAGTAGAAATATGAGCTGGTAGAAGTGTTTTTCTTCTGCAAAGATCCTTTCACTAAAAGTGTCTCTGGTATTTGCTGAAACACCTACAAGGATGGAATACATAACAACCAAACAGTACACACTAATGAAGCTCATGTTATTAATAAAGGTTGTAAGCAGATTACTGAAACACAGAAGTGCATGTCATTGATTTGATTAACATGGTCTATGTACTGCATCTCAATGGGCTTCAGAAAGACATCAGGATGTTCCTTGGAATACATGATCTATTAATTACAAAGTTTGTGATTTAGCTTGGAAGAAATATATGACTAATTGATGACCTCACAGAAAAATATCGAAACATACATCAACGTTAAATGAGGCAACATTTAGTTTACACGATGCACCATTGCTACAGAAAAATGACACTACTGATTACAAAAAATTGAAGGCACTTACACCAGATTGAAGTCCCTGAAACATAAATAAACTATCAATTATATGAGATTTCATATCCATAGAGTTATAAAAAAGTGATCATAAACAGAGAGATAGATAGGCAGAGACAAAATACTTAAGAACAATGCAGAAGCAGGAAGCTTTTTTACCTCAAGCAAGAAAGACATATTACTCTTTTCAACAATGTTGTGAGGTATTAGCTTCTTGGTCGGGGGACATTTTGGTTGGCTGGTTGGAAATCCCTAATTACGCAAAAAGTGAAAAACAAATTCACGCAACACTAGAAACAATAAAAGATAGCTTAAGATTAGTATTTGACCTTTTATGCTTCTGGATTTCATTAAGCAATTAAAGTATCTGCTTAATCAATTAGATACTCAACACTTTTAAACAATATCTTAAGATGATGATGTGTATGTGCACATAACCATTTGTTTATTAAAGTCCCTTCAGACTTTCCAATTTCAACTGAAACCCGATTGAGAAACTAAAGAATGAAAGAAGCGAAAAAATCAAAATAAAATGCATGAAAGAAATTCAATTGCCAAGAAACGAAATGCCTAATAATCAAAACAAATCGAAGTAATTGATTATTGAGATTAAGCTAATAATGAGAAGTCGAATGAAGTGAACTTAACAGAGTACATAAAACATACGGAGTAGTTAATATTAAGCTATAAAAAGTTAAGTGGAGAAGGAGAATGTTTTAGGTAAGAAAATGATTGTATACTTAATTAAGGTTATTAATCAACTGTTAGACTTAGATTCAGAATATCTCTATTGATTACCACATATGTGTGCATGAGGATGAAAATTGAACTACTTAAAGTCTTAAATAGGAAAAGAACATGCGCTTAGGAACAAATCCGAGGTATACTAATATGGAAAGCGGTTATTTTGAACAAAAAGATTTCAGCGCTTGTAGCAAGATTCCTCTCCTTTCTTCTCTTTTCACCCTCTTCTCTTGCTCACTTTACCTCAAGAAAAATTGCTCACGAAACTTGTAGCCAAAGACCTGAAGAAAAAATCCCCACATCTAATGTTTTTCTTACACTTTTATCACTTTCTTCACCTACCTATTCAATTGAATCCGTTTTTGCCTGAAGTGGTTAACAAAAATGAATCAGGTCCTATAGAAGAGGTTTCTCACCTTCTAGAATCAGTAGAGCAGTTAACCATCGACTATGTCATATAGTGCTCATTTTCCTGCTGGATCCAATCCAAGTCAATAATGTTATGAAGGAACCACTTTATAGGAAGGTAAAATGGCTCGTTCTCATTTTCCTACTGGTTATGACCCTTTCAATTATTGAATGGAAATATAAAATGGATGAAATATCAATGTAAGTTTAACTTTCATCATTATATACAGAAAAAAACATGACATGATAGGTGGACAAGAATAACAAAGGGTTTCATACTTTCATTGTATAAATTTAGTGGACAAACACATAATGGAGGGGCAGAGAAAAAATAGTTGTATAACATATTAACATAATATGTGAGTATAACATTTTAACAAAATATAACATTCAGACCTACTAAAGTAAGACATGATTGTACTTTAGCTCATATATAACCTGTGGCGTTAGCGCTTATTTATCATAATACAACAACGCTTGATTTGTGATATTGTTTATTGGAAGTGTCATGCCTCGCAATTTACTGCTTAGCTATAAGTGTAAGATGTTAATTGAGTATTCTTTGCGCTTGCTATGAACCTATAAGTATTCATTTGTAAAGTATCAGTTTTATTGATCAATGATTAGGTCCTGTTTCTTTAAGCTTCATATTTTCTCCTGCAATTGATGTGTATAGTTCTAACCATAGACTTATGCTAAATCACTGATGATATTTATCGAGCATAAACAATAAGGTGTTGCAAAGAGTCCTCATTTATATCATATCTATAAAATCAAACAAAAAATCATGTATTCAGCTTTTTAAAAATCAAGTTCAATGAGTCCGCTTTCACCAGAATCCAAATCATGGTCATGATGGAGCCATTTATCTAATAATGTATGGGCACAAAAAAATGACATGGTTAAAAGAAAATATTATAGGAAGAAGAGAAAGCAGAAGGAACAAAAGGACCACATATCTTATGTATCAAAGGAAGCACCGCTTAAGTAAGATTGGAGCACATCATGTTGCAAATATACAGAGCCTAAAACCAGTAGCTCAGCCTGCAAACCTAAAAAGTTCAGTAGATGAAAACTCTACCTATTTTTGTACTAATCATTTGAGTAAACTATATTAGACTTACGTATGTACATAAGAAATACCTCGTATATGATATGTATATACATATATTTTGCATAGTAAATCACATGGGGCACCCACCTCATCGCACATCGCAAAAACAATGAAGCAAGTAATTGGATATTAAAGATTTCTCTATTTCTTTTAAACATTTGGAAATAAGACTATTCAATATGAATAGCCTCATTAAACTTAAGCATTATTTAAACATTCAACAATAAACAATGAAAATCGCAAATCGCTTTAACTGCTTCAAGCTTTGTTTGAGTTTAAAAGTTATCATACTTCCACCGAAACCTTAACATATTCTGAAAAACAATATGACTTTAATCAGCTTAACGATATAAAGTTTTTTTTTGTAAATGTAACTTACAGACTATTAGATAAATCATGTTGCTTTTAAAATGTAAATAAGAGGAAGATTGACTGTTTTTATTTCGGTAAAGATAAGACTTGTTGTTCAAACACGGAAATTTTATGCTTTTAAGACTTAAAATTAAGTTTAGAGCAATAAAACATTATTTGTACAAAAACAATCCCAAATAGATCAGAATTTATATTCAAAATCCTATCTTTAACGGCAATATCCACCCCTAATGTTAATGTCACTTAAAGACTATGCATTTCAATACGTCAAATCATAATAAATGGAGTATGGTGCTTCAAATAATTATAAATTTAATTTTCAACGTCATATAGTCAAATCATAACAGCATGAATTGCTGTAATTAGAACACAAGGTGATGTCTGATATTTTGTATAAAGTGAGTTTACTACTCTAAGTTTCATAGTCTTCCCTAATCGATACTTTTTATAAAATCATTAGATAAAAAAAACCAGGAGGTCGTCAGCTAGTTATGACCATAAATGAAGTGCCTCGTTGTCACACAAAGCACTTGGAGCAATCATTAATGTTTAAAAAATTGTAAAATCTTCATAGGGTGAAACACGTATGGAAATCACACATGAATCAGTAAGATAAATCAATTTATAAGCTTTATTTGTGGGAGAAAAATCAAAATAGGTTTACGGTGCAGCATAAAGCTAAACAAAGTAGTTCACCACCTTACCAACTGAGATGATAAAACTATATTTGGAAATGAATTCAAGTTTGACTTCATCTAAAGTTTGTATGATCTATGGGTTATTCAAATATTCAATAGGATCTGTACCAATCCATTTATCGCCTTTGAATATATCATTTATCTTATTGTTCAGCTTTAAGATTTGAGTTGAATTAGATTCTTTCCATTTGACTTCAATTAGGTGATGCAATTTTTTAAAACTGCAGCAACAACAATGGTTCGTCACTCCGCCTTAGTTGGAGTATAAGAAACACAATGTCAATGAAACTTTTTAATAAGCCCTTATTCCTTAATAGAAATCCACTTTAACAATTTTGGTATCAGGTTTATTTAACACTTTGCCTTACAATAAGTTAATCATTTATTCTATCACAATGCATTTTATAAAAAACCAACCTGAAAAACATATCATGCCCAATCATAAACTTACAATAAGTTAATCATTTATTCTATCACAATGTTTTTTAGAAGAAACAAAATAGAGAAACACTTTTTAAATGCTTATACCCAATCATACACTCCATGTTTCAAAGAAATTTTAAAAGAAACACTTTTGAAATGCTTATACAAAATTCAGAATAACAGGTCACAAGCAGCATCCATAATAATGATGTATTAAAATCAAGCTTTTTTATTCCAAATTTCCGATTAAAACTGTCTAAGTGGAAGCCTCAATAAAGATCCCATGGTTCACTTACGTTGTTTAGAGGTCATTTTGAATGAAAAGGGTTCAATTTTATAAGTTAAGAAAAATGGTTTTCAATGAAACAAAAAACACACCTTAAGTGGTATCTTAAACTTTTGCAATTAGTTTTATTTTAAAAGTGTATATTACAATAATACAATCTGTCTTTTTTTATTGTATTGTAGATCAGTGTGAACTTTAACTGGAAGAGAGGCATTATTATATTATCAAGTACAAAAGATGTTTGTGAATTTCTTACTGATAGATTTTGTGTTTCTATTTGATGGTCAACCCGATTGCTTGTAAACTGTATGTAGAGTTTAATAGGGAGAACTATGGTAGCAGCATGGGTGAAGGAAAAAATTGACTATCAACATCCAAAATTGCTTATAAATGGGTGTACAGGTTGAGCGAGGAATGACATTTGGCTTATAAGATGATTTGATAGGAATAGATTGTTAGTTATTCTATAAATGGGTGTACAGGTTGAGCAAGGCATCGTTTGGCCTAATTCTACAGGAAACACAAAATAGTCTAAAATACTCTGTATCATTTAGACATATTCACAAGCACCTAGTGTGCTTCAAAGAAATTTCATTTTGCCTCCTAAATTAAGTTCACACACTAATTGTTTGTTGGCAACATTCGATAGTGCAATCATGGAACTACAAAACTACACCACATGTTCGTTCAAGTAAGTATGTGAATGGTTTAGACAACAACAAAATTGAGTGAGCGGATATAATATGTGTAGTGTGTTTGTGCAGCCTGTGTAAGCAAAGGGGAAAACAATAATAACAAACAAGGAAAGAGCACACACCTGGAGAAGAGTGAGGCTGAAGAAGACGAAATGATGTGAGTGATGTGCGACGGGATGTCGTTGTGCGGCTAGAGAGGAAGCGAGAGAGGAATGTCTGGGCCTTGGGTCTGGTCTAGTCTGTGATTCGATGCAACGGAAAGTCCGTGCGGCTAGAGAGGAAGCCAGAAGGCTGAAGGCGAAAGGTTCCGGGCATTGGGAATATTTAACGGAGATCGACAAACGGCTGTGGGGAGATAAAGTCAAGTTGGAAACTTACAAACATCTAAACATGTTGTACTTGTCAGCTAAGCTCACAATACCACCAACAATTTTTTTTATGCCCATAATACCCTAACTCTCATTCAGGCTTATTAGATTGTAGAGATTTATTTTTGATGGTTTATAGGGATCCAAGCTATGTAATAAATGGAGAGATTTGAGCTCAAGAATGTGGAGAAGATGAATGAATAGTGGTATTGTTTGTGTGATAATGATTCTAGGGTTTACAAGCTCCCAAAGGAGTATATATAGAAGAAATCCGGGTCTGGGCATCTAATATGGGCCTGACAGACCCGGTTACATAAATGGACTGATAATATAAAAGGCTAATCTAGAACACCTGAATAATAATAATAATAATGTACAATAATGAAAATGCTATCAGCTGAGTGTACATGGGCCGCTGTCCGGGCCCGATAGTCGTGAGACCCGGGGGTCCGAGTCTATATACTCTATCAGGAGTCCCCCACTCTCTGAGTCGAGAGTACTCGAGGCGAAAGAGTAGAACTGTGTGCTGATATGTCGTTGTCTGGTGAGTAAACCGCTGTCGTTGCCGAAGTGCCTCGCCCGGATTCCCAAGCCGATGATCCGATCCCATTGGCGAGCCCTGACTGAGGAAACCCAGTGGGAGAATCCTCAGCCGAAGGTCGCAGACCAGAGACCATCACCACCGATCCTGAGGCCGGGGAGCTATGTATATGTACTGGCTGATGTGACAGGCAGCTGAATCTGCATATGATATGACGATGTCGTCGGTGCGTGTGACAATACTTGTGAATTTTTTTGAAATTCTGCTTCTTTGGTTAACGGAAGCGCTAAGTCCCCCGCTCTTCCAGTCCCCCACTCCTTGAGGTGAATGTAGTTAGGCGAAGTGGAGTAGAGTAGTGTGTGTCGCGTGATGTCTTCAATAGGGGGCCGAGGGTCGACGCCTTTTGATCCACAATGGGGAGATGACTCGTTAAAAACCTCATTAGGAAAAAACCCAGTGGGAACAAATCCTAATGAGGGAAAAAGAGTACACCGGATGCCCCCAAAATGAAGCAAAAGGGGTGAGCCCTTCGACCTAGGTGTGGAGCTGCAACGGTGTCCGTCTGTTGAGGGGATGGGCGAGACCAGTCTCTAGATGTGAGTAGCTCGTCATGATAAGTAGTCCTAGTCATCAAATAAAGATGACTAAGAGATAGGTCGAGTGACCGTCCATAATGTGATGTCTGGGTCATCAAATAAAGTGACCGAGACATGTGGCCGAGAGGCCTATAAGAAGTCCAAGCCATCAAATAAAGATGACCAGGAGAGACGGCCAAGTGGCCGGTATGATGAGCTCCACGTCATCAAATAAAGATGATGGGGCGATGCATGGGCGAGGTGCCCGAATGAGAGCTCCACGTCATCAAATAAAGATGACGGGGTGATGTATGGCCGATAGAGGCCTATATGAGAGCTCCACGTCATCAAAGAAAGATGACGGGGTGATGTATGGCCGAGAGAGGCCTATATGAGAGCTCCACATCATCAAATAAAGATGACGGGGTGACGTATGGCCGAGAGGCCTACATGAGAGCCCCATGTCATCAAATAAAGATGACAGGGTGATGTATGGCCGAGAGAGGCCTATATGAGAGCTCCACGTCATCAAATAAAGATGACGGGGTGACGTATGGCCGAGAGGCCTACATGAGAGCCCCACGTCATCAAATAAAGATGACGGGGTGATGTATGGCCGAGAGGCCTGCATAAGAGCTCCACGTCGTCAAATAAAGGTGACAGGGCGATGCATGGCCGGTGGGCCTGCAACTGAGCTTTGCGTCATCAAATAAAGATGACGGAGCAAGATATGGCTCAAAGGCCTACAAATGAGTTCCTCGTCATCAAATAAAGATGACAAAACGATATGTGGCCGATGGGCCTGTAGATGAGCTCTTCATCATCAAATAAAGATGACAGAGCGATATATGGCCGATGGGCCTGTAGATGCGCTCTTCGTCATCAAATAAAGATGACAGAGCGATATATGGCCGATGGGCCTGTAGATGAGCTCTTCATCATCAAATAAAGATGATAGAGCGATATATGGCCGATGGGCCTGTAGATGAGCTCTTCGTCATCAAATAAAGATGACAGAGTGATATATGGTCGATGGGCCTGTAGATGAGCTCTTCGTCATCAAATAAAGATGACAGAGCGATATATGGCCGATGGGCCTGTAGATGAGCTCTTCGTCATCAAATAAAGATGACAAAACGATATATGGCCAATGAGCCTGTAGATGAGCTCTTCGTCATCAAGATGATAGAGCGATGTATGGCCGATGGGCCTGTAGATGAGCTCTTCGTCATCAAATAAAGATGACAGAGCAATATATGGCTGATGGCCTATGGCTGAACTCTGGGCTCCTTTAGCTTTTTAGCCGGAGACCGCAAGACGTTCGCTATATCTGAATAGGGGGATGAGGCGGTGGATGCCTGTCTGAATATGAGGATGACGACGCTGATGAGTCGGTCCGAATATGAGGACGACAGCGCCGACGAGCCAGTCCGAATATGAGGATGAGGCGATGGTAAGCCGTGCGTCATATGAAGGCGACAGTCACCATCTAGGAAGGGAATGGCGAGCCTGGTCACTAGATAAGGACTTCGGCGCTGGGGCCGGTCTCAATGTGAGGACGAGGCGATGATAAGTCGTGCATCATATAGGGGCAACGATCGCCTTTCGGAAGGGATGGCGAGCCCAATCGCTATAACAAAACATCAGCGCTGGGAGCCGGTCTTGAGATAAATAATCACGTCGAGGCCGAGAGGCTGATCGCGATGTGCGGACGGCAATGATGAGGAGCCAGTTCAAAGTATGATGACGAGGCGATGATGGAGCCGATCGTCATATAGAGGCGATAGTCACCATCCAGGAGGGGATGGCGAGCCTGATCGCTAGCCCAACACACTCGGCGCTGATGAAGCCGGTGTTAGGATAGGGCGTCACGTCGTGGCCAAGGGGCCGGTCGTGATGCGAGGTCGTCAACACTATGAGGCTGATCTAAAAGTCCAAGCAACGGTCGCCATCCGATGAAGGAATGACTGAGACCGGTCTTGGGGATAGATAATCACGCCGAGGCCGAGGGGCCGGTCGTGATGCATGGATGGCGATGAAAGGAGCCAATCCGAAATATGATGACGGGGCAATGCTGAGCCGGCCGTCATATAGAGGTGATGGTCACCATCCAGGAAGGGATGGCGAGCCCAATCGCTAGCTCAATATCGTGTTGAGACCGAGGGGTGTGCCACGATGTGAGAATGACGGCGATGATGAGTCGTTCCAATAAATGATGATGAGGCCATGATGGGTCAATCGTCTTATAAAGGCGACGATTACCATCCAGGAAAGGATGGTGAGCCCGATCGCTAGCTCAAGACTCTCGGCGCTGAGGAAGCCGGTCTTGAGATAGATAATCACGCCGAGGCCGATGGGCCGGTCGTGATGTGCGGATGGCGATGAAAATGAGACAATCCGAAATATGATGACGGGGCGATGATGAGTCGGCCATCATATAGAGGCGATGGTCACCATCCAGGAAGGGATGGCGAGCCCAATCGCTAGCTCAAGACTCTCGGCGCTGAGGAAGCCGATCTTGAGATAGATAATCATGCCGAGGCCGAGGGGCCGGGCGTGATGCGAGGACGTTGGTGATGAGGAGCCGGTCCTATACTATGATGACAGGGCGATGGTCACCATCCAGGAAGGGGTGGCGAGCCCGATCGCTAGCTAAAGACTCGGTGCTGAGGAAGCCGCTCTTAAGATAGATAATCACGCTGAGGCCGAGGGGCCGGGCGTGATGCGAGGACGACGGCGATGAGGAGCCGGTCCTATACTATGATGATGGGGCGATGATGAGCCGGCCGTCATAGTGGCGATGGTCACCATCCAGGAAGGGGTGGCGAGCCCGATCGCTAGCTCAAGACTCGGCGCTGAGGAAACCGCTCTTGAGATAGATAATCACGCCGAGGCCGAGGGGCCGGGCGTGATGTGAGGACGACGGCGATGAGGGGCCGGTCCAAAAATCCATGCAATGATTGTCATCCGGTAAAGGAATGAGTAAGACCGGTCTCGAGATAAATAATCACGTCGAGGCCGAGGGGGCCGGTCGTGATATGAGGATGAAGGAACTGAGGGGTTGGTGCGAAGATCCATGCAACAGTCGCCATCCGGTAAAGGAATGACTAAGACCGGTCTCGAGATAAATAATCACATCGAGGCCGATAGGCCGGTCATGATGTTCGGATGGCGATGAGAAGGAGCCAATCCGAAATATGATGACGTGGCGATGATGAGCCGACCGTCATATAGAGGCGATGGTCACCATCCAGGAAGGGATGACGAGCCCGATCGTTGGCTCAAGACTCAGCGCTGAGGAAGCCGCTCTTGAGATAGATAATCACGCCGAGGCCGAGGGGCTGGTCGTGATGTCCGGATGGCGATGCTAAGAAGCCGATCCGATAATATGATGATGGGGCGATGATGAGCCGGCCGTCATATAGAGGCAATGGTCACCATCCAGGAAGGGATGGCAAGCCCGATCGCTGGCTCAAGACTCTCGGCGCTGAGGAAGCCGGTCTTGAGATAGGTCATCATGCCGAGGCCGAGGGGTCAGTCATGATGTACGGACGTCAGCACTGGCAGGCCGATTCGAATGTCCATGCGGCGGTCCTTATCCATAAAGTAAGAGGATGAGACCGGTCATCAGAGTATGATGATCACGCTGAGACCGAGGGGTCTGCCGTGTCGATATAAAAGATCGCGTTGAGACCGAGGGGTCTGCCGCGATGTGAAGATGACGACGGTGATGAGCCATCCCAATAAATGATGACGAGGCGATGATGGAAGTCGATCATCATATAAAGGCGACGGTCTCTTATCCGGGAGAGGAATAGCGAGCCCAA